CCAAGGAAGTCGAAGCAAAGGCTGGTCAACAGGGGCTGAATAATCACATCCTGTTCTCAGTCTTGTAGAATATATTTGATCTGAATATTTCATTGTGGTGTCAGGCAGAAGCCAGTCTGAGCTGCAGTCTGGTTTGGTGCCTGGGATGTTGCAGACAGAACAATTTGAGCATTCCTCTCACACAGGGAGTCGGACATCATGAGATCCTGTGATGTAATGATTTTGAGAGCCGAGGGTGCGGGGATTGGGGGTGGTGGGGCGGAGAGAGGCTGTATTGCAGCATCTCTGATTGCACAGAACTAACCTGTTTACCTGAGTGAATAAGGCACAGCATCTGTGTGAGACTGGGGGTTTATGCATTCACACAGTGTGATGGATGTTGAGTGCTTTAGAGCAATGCAGTAAGCAAACACAGACAGGGGAGTGCTGCTGCGAGCAGGGCTGCTCCTCATTCACTGTGACTCGCTGCTGAAATTCTCTGACCACCCCAGCATTGGGACGTGCAACAGTGACCCTCAGTCCATGATGGATCGTGTGGGTCTGAGGAGACGCTTGCTATACTTCCGATCAAAGTCGTGCGCAGCTGAGATCTCAGGTAAAGTTTGGTTTGATTCTGTAGCGTGCTTGTCTGTTAGCTTCTGAGGATTGAATTAGTTATTTTTGTAGCAACTAAAAGCACCTTGTTTAAAGTGATTGGAGTTGCAATGCAACAACAACTAACAACAAATTGCATTCATATCGTGCCTTTCACATCGGGAGGACGTCCCAAGGCAATATAAGTTATTGAATCGCCATCAGTATAAGAGCTGGATCACACACTTGATGTTGGATGGGGTGTTCACTTTGCTGGGACCTAATTAACCTAATCAGTGCCAGCTCTCAATGCCGATAATTGAATAACAGGTGCTCGACGATGCAATGTGTTTGACTGTATGCAGAGTGATGCTGCAGTAATAATAATAATCATCATCCTTGCATTTGGTCCAGCGCCATATCACGTCGTTGAGACATCTCAAAGCGCTTCACAGGATATACTGTAAACTGGATTTATATAATGTGGGCGAAATGTGGCACCAGTTGCGCACAGCAATGTCCCACAAACAGCAATAGAGTGAGTGCTCTAACCACTTTGGCATGGGACTCCCGTAAAACACGCGCTTACTGACACACTGCCCTCTGAGTGATGGGGATGGGGTTTGTGGCCAGGAACTTAAAGCACTCATTTATAAAGTTGTTTGGGAGTCAGATCAGACAAGGGGCTGCGAGCAGGAGCTCTGCTTTCTCAGAAAGGACAGTTGGCAGAGCCACCAAATATAGCAATTAATAATAGTAATAATGTATTAATAATGTTTGATTAAGAGATCTGGGAACACCTTTCCCACTGCCTACCCCTATGGTCAAGTTGCAAATGATATAAAAGACATCATGGAATCAGTGCAGTGAGGTGGCAAAGTTGGTTTTGAATTCTCTCCATGTTCCACTATGGTGTTTTCTTAATGCCAAACACTTTTTGGGTAAGTTCTATATGTTGAGCAGATGGGGGTGTGCTGGATTTTAGAGAGCAAGGCACATATACATTGTGGGATTGTGGAGAGCAAAGATGGATTACTCATAATCTGGATAAAATATTCTAGAATTTAAAGTACTTGTAGGTTGAGCAGTTTTGAATTCAGATTTATGATTTCTCTCATTTGTCTATTTGGATCTGTTACATGTGCCATGTGTAAACCCAGATGTGTAGATGTAAATTGAATGTACCGTGCATGATTCTGATTAACAATCCAAAAGGTTTTAATTCAGCGATAAAGAGCTAGTACTCTCATCGGTTACTCAATTACGGACACCTATACACATGCTTGCACGTGGCATGTAATTCCCATCTATTTATGCATGACACATAGTAGACCCTAATAACTACTATTTGACCTCTTGATTTAAAATGGTGTAATTTAAGTATAGCTTTTGTAAAGATCATTATCAGAAATTGTTATCGATCCATAACGTGCCTCTGTAAAATCGAATATGTTTGAAAGGTGCACGTGTGCGAGTGCCATAAAGAAAGCAAATGGTCAACTTACTGCTTGACCCTCTTGCCTGTACAATGCTGACCATTCTCACGAGTTATCCTGCGCTCACCCAATTATTATTGCTTGTCTTCCAGAGCTCTTTGTTATTTATAGTGAAGTTTCTCTGGTTATGTCACCTGCTCAAAGAGGACCATGCCACATTTTGGCAGATCTGTGTCAACACTTCTATGTAACCAGTTCCTAGCAATTGGGTGAGCAGTACAATGGGGTAGTTCTTCCTCACTGCAGCTGAGTACCCGACCTCTGCTCCATCTTCCCTCTGACTAACGGGGCACGGAACTTTCTTGCGAGGGCAACGGGGATGCATTATTCTGTTAGTGAGCTCTGATGCTTATAACATTATGTTATTATGTTATTTATTTTTATAAGTGTTATAAAAAGAAATTCCTCCACTCTCTTCTTGACCTTTTCTGCATGTGGTGACCAGGCCGACAGCAAACTCAACTGTTTGGGGAGAAGCGCTGCTCTGAAAGCGATCACAGAGTGGATTATTAGTCCAAATCTCCTGGATGATAGCACTGTGCTCTTTTATGTTTTCTCAGGTTTTAAAATCTGCCCTATTACATTTGCATCAACAGTCACTGCGGTTAGGCACTGGCAGAACGGCTGACCCTGTGAGAGTCACCGTTTTTATATGCGATGAGTGCTTTTCTCTTGTGTTTATTCATGTTTGTCCTACCTGAGGGCAAACCTGCTGCTGCGAGAGTAATCCATAAATTAGAAACGTTATCCATTATAATGAATCGCGTGGCACTTTGAGTGAATGTCATGGAAGGATTGAAGCTGCCACAGTGATGATCTTTGTCCAGGGACAGTGGAACTCAATCACATGCTCCCCTGAAGGGTTCTTCCAAGCATTTCTTATTGGCGTGGGGAAGCTTTGAGAGATCTCTGAGGTGAATGGTGCAGTAACATGCCTTTGGCAGTTCCAGGCATGCCTCATCTCACAGCTCTTAGCTTCTATTGTTAGTCTCCATCAAGCTATCCAACAGTCTGCAAAAATAAGAATTGTGCCAAAGGTACTGCATTATCCTATGTGAAAGGAATTATAAAGTGCAAGTTGTGATGGAACTGGTACAGCCCCAGGGGTAATCCCAGTGATCTAGCGGGTACATAACAGTTACTAGATGAAAGAAGACCAAGGTGCATTCAGTTCGCCTTCCACAGTCCTGGAAGTCGCATGCACATGTCAAACTATACACTGTATCCCAAGAAATTATTTCCTAACAGAAACTAATTTGTTCTTGAAAATTGTTCTGGCTTCCACCATCTCCCTAGGGAGTCTGTTCCTTATATTTACTACTCACTCACTGAAGTAGCGTTTCAGCAGATTAGTTCTGAATTAGTAATTGTATTGGGTAGAACCTGGAGAAGCTCACTGGTTTGAACCTCGCTGTTTGATGGTCTCAGCTGAGGCTTCAGGGGGAGGTTATGTTGACCCCAGCATTCCTTGGGTTAGGGAGGATAAAACAGGACAGGGTTCCTGATTTTTGACCTCCTTCATTATCTTCTACTTGTCATGTGCATGTGTGGCAGCTGAGTGGAGAGACGTCAGGCTCAGCTCTGATGCCCTCGACAGTGCAGTGGCCTGCCAGCACTCACTGCCAAGGCTCCCTTCTGCATGGAAAGTTTCTGTGTTCCTAAGTACTGTTCTCGTCCTCTAACTTGAGATCAGACACTGTTGGTATTTTTTTAGCTGGACCCATTACCTTCTTTATATCCATTGAAAGACATTTACTGAATGATTGTGTGTGTGTGTGTTTGTGTGTGTGGCGGGGAGAGAACATCAAAATTAAATTTATAGAGCGCCTTTCACGTCGGGAGGATGTCCCAAAGCACTGAACAAAAGAAAGTGAGAGAATGCTTCATTCCTTTTCTTCACTGGCACAAGGACTTGAGAGGACTCCGGTGTCCCATGTTTATTGAGGTACAATGATGCTCATTGAGCTGGAGCTGAGATGTGGAGAGGTGTTTGGGAAAGGAGGGCAGGTGGAACATTGCACCCTGACTCCGTCACCTAAATTCAGGGTGGGCATGGAGACAAGGGAAGGAGTTGCAGTACAGACGTTGACTGCATTAATAAAAATAATAATCTTTGAATTTGATATAACATCTTATCCCATTGTCAAAATGTCTCAAAGCATTTCCCAGGAATTACTGTGCAGTGTCTATGTATTTTGTAAATGAACACAGTGCCTAATTTGCGCACAGCAATGCCCCACAAACAGCTATGGATGTGAATGACCAATTTTATCTCGAGGATTATTGACTAGGACACCGGGAGAAACTCCATTCTCTTTTCAAATAGTGCCTTGGGATCTTTATCATACACCTGAAAAGACTGTCAGGTCCTTGGTTTAACGTCTCATCCGAGGGATTATCTCAGACGTTTCAGTTTTTCCCAGCGCTACATTGAAGTGTGAGCCTAGACTATGAAGCTCAAAGTCCTTGACGTGGGTCTCCAACCCATAATCCTGATTTAGAAGCAAGATTGCTAAAATCTTTGCCAAGCGGACATAGTGGGAGTGGAGTCCTGTAGCTCAGTGGTTAGAGCACTCGCCTTGCAAGTGAGACACCTGGGTTCAATTCCAGGAAGGGCGAAACCTTGGGCAAGTTTCCTTACTCCACACGCCTAATAATAATCCTTCCAGAACAAAACAATAATAAATTGGTCATTTTAAATCTATGACTGTTTGTGTAACTGCTTTGCGCAATTGGCTGCTGCGTTTCGCCCATAAATATACGGTCAATTCACTTGGCAGTCTATTCTGTGAAGCGCTTTGAGATGTTAAGAAAACGTGAATAGCACTATATCAAAATACAAGGATTATTATAGTTAAGATGACATTTGTTTTTTCTCAGTTTTGTGCTTGTTGAATGACCTGTTCTTGTTCTTTTGATGTTTGTTTGCAGATGTGAAAGGTCCCCCTACACACAGACTGTCCTGTGGTCAGTCCCCATACACAGAAACATCCTGGGAACACAAATACTGCCTACTGACTGACAGCCAGATGATCCTTCTGAACAGGGAAGATGAGGTGAGAAACGAGTTCATAACAAAAACTTGCATTTTTATACAATGCCCTTCACATTATTAGTGTCTTGGAGCATTTCTCAAAGTTGGGGTCTTATATCACAACCTCTTGGCTCAGAGACAACAACAACGGAGGACGACCCAAGGTGCTGGACAGTCAGAGTTTCGGACCTGAGCTGGAGGTCGGATAGAGGCGGGTGGAGGGCAGGGGGGGAAGCAGGATGATCGAAAGCACGGTCGAAGAGGAGGGTCTTGAGATGGGTCTTGAAGGAGGCAAGGGAAGGGGCGAGGGGGAGGGATTGCGGGATGGAGTTCGAGAGGGTGGGGGCAGAGCGGTAGAAGTCCCACCCGCCAATGGTGGGGCGAGCAAGGTGGGAATTGTGAAGCAGGCCGGAGCCCGTTGGACAGAGGGAGTGGGCTGGATGGTAAGGGGTTAGGAGGTTGCAGTGGTAAGTGGGAGCAAGACCATGGAGGGTTTTGAAGGTGAGGACCAGGATCTTGAACTGTATCCTCTGTGTGATGGGAAGCCAGTGGAGTTGGGTGAAGATGGTGATAGGGTCACGGAACCTGGTGCGGGAGAGGTCATGGGCTGCAGGGTTCTGGATAATCTCTGGATGAGACACGAGTGTTACGAACTGAGCACAAGGTAGGAATGGTTCATGTATATTTCCATTTCTAATTCCGTCAGTCAAGTGGGATGAAAGCTCAAGTGAGGTGCTTAAATTCCTTTAATTGCCTACAGTAAACCGAAGAACTGCAACCTATATGGATGAGTCCACTGTGAGAGGGAGATTTCTAACAAGATGGATCCACTTCGCTAATGAATGGGAACGTGTTTGTTTAGAGCTTTTAGTTAGTGAATGTCCTAAGATACCCCGAGATTCACTTTTTCAATTGACGTTAGTTAGCGTGTTACTGATCTGATTCATAGATCGTGCATTACAGTCATCAATCGTGATAGCCAGTTTGAGCTGAGAACTTGTCAGATGATTATTGTTATCGGCAGCAGCCACAGTGGAAAAACCCAGCATTAGATATCAGAATTCTGGCTGGCCTGGAAAATGTCTTTCTCTTATTGTAGAAAGACAAGAGATTGGCAACTTAATGTACAGCCGAGAAATCCCATTGTACTTGACAGCAGACATAGTTCTGTGGAGGTGGAGTGTGGAACTTAATTACTGCTGCAGCCAATGTTCTTCAACGAGGAGCCAAGAGACACGTTGAGGCCTCAACGAAGGTAACAAAAGTTGACGATGATTGACAATGCCATTAATGTAGCTGTTCAAATGTGGAGGAAGGTGAGTCCTGAGTTTAATCTACTTCTGTGTCAGCACTACACAGCCCGTTGCTTTCTGTAACCTCACCTTAGGAAGTACATCCGAGTATTTAGCAGATAGAAGGCATTAGTGTCATAATAACCATTTCCAGTCCTGTACTGTCCTATGTTCCAACACTGTGTCTTGTGAAAGATTTTGGGATTTTCTGATTGGTGTGCAGAGGTAAGATAAAAGTAAGCTACGGGACATAATGAGATGGCGAAATGATTGCTTACCATGTTCTACAACCTTTCACACCCTCGAGGCAATCAGATGATGGGGGAATCCACATTACTTATTTAGTGAATTTCCCTGTTTAAATGTTGTGTTTCAACCTAATCATCTTCTGTTGCTGCCAGGCACAATTAAATGGGTGATTTTGCCGTTTGCTCATTGATGTAAGTGGTTTAAGAAAACGTAGAGGTCTGCAATGGTTCAGTGGTAAATGCACGAGAAGATAATGTAATTCTGAGCCATAAAGAAGGTCCCAGTTTGATTCTTGGCTTGTGCTGAGTTATCTGATCTCAAACAGTCAGCAGGCCACAAGAGTGGACAAGGAAGAAGAACTTTGCATTTTTACAGTTGCTTATTATGCCATTGTCTCAAAGCATTTCCCAGTACCCTTGGGCCTGGGTCTTGGCTCCTGAACAGAAATGTCCTGCTTGAAATGTCCATTTATGGATGTCCGATAAAACCAGGATCCGGGTTTGTGGCTGTTTTTCTCCTCTTAACCCTCACCCCAAACACACACACACACACTTACACAAAACCCCTCACCTCACGTACACCCTCCATGGTCAGATAGGCAGCTTTGAGTCAGAAGGTTGTGGGTTCAAACCCCACCTCGGGCCTTTGGTTCACGTGGTCCAAGCTGACACTCCAATGAGATGCTGGGGGGCTGTTGGAGTTTCCGTCCTTTAGATGAAACGTTAAACCAAGCCAAACGTTGTGGAGTCCTGTAGCTCAGTGGTTAGAGTACTCGCCTTGCAAGCAAGAAACCTGGGTTCAATGCCAGGGCGAAACCTTGGGCAAGTTTCCTTACGCCACACGCCTAATAATAATCCCTCCAAAAAACAAAACAATAATAAATTGGTCATTTTCAATCCACGACTGTTTGTGGGACACTGCTGTACGCAATTGGCTGCCGCGTTTCGCCTACAAATATACAGTCAATTCACTTTACAGTCCATTCTGTGAAGCGCTTCGAGATGTCGAGAAGACGTGAAAAGCGCTATATCAAATGCAAGGATTATTATTATTAAACCGAGGTCCAGTCTGCTTATTCAGGTGGATGTTAAAGATGCCATGGCACTGGTCATAAAGAGAAGCGAGTTCCTCTCTCCCAGTGTCCCGGCCAACAAATCCCTCACTCCATTGCTGTTTGTGGGACATTGCTGTGCCCAAACTGGTTGCGTTTCACCCACAACTCACATTCACTCCACTTTACAATATTTCTGTGAAGCACTTTGAGATATCTCGATGATGTAATAAGGCACTATATCAAATGCAAGGATTATTATTGTTTGGCTGCTGGCACTTGTGGATCTGAGTTCCAGCATGAACTTGCACCTTCAGGAAAGAAAATTATTTTAACAAAATGATTCCAAGTTAAAATTAGGTTAGCTTTACATTGACACAAAGCGAATTGCCTTGAATTTTACCCATTTAGATTTTATAAATCTAAATGGGTAAAATTCAAGGCAATTCGCCCTGAATAATTAAATCATTAAAATTCCCCTATCTTCTGGAACTCCATCACAGAGCCTTTTGACTCACCCCTTCCCTTGCCTCTTTCAAATCCTGTCTCAAGACTTTACTCTTTGACCGTGCCTTCAGCCATCTTCCCACCCCCACTCCCCCTTGCGCTCCACCCCCTTTGACTCCAACCTCCAAATCAAGTGCAAACTTATGACTGTCCAGCGCCTTGGGACATCCTGGTGATGTAAAAGGCACTGTATAAATGCAGTTTGCTTGTTTGTTGTGTAAATAAACATTCCTTGCAGTTGATATATTTCTGTGCCTGTCTAAGCTCTTGACACAAAAGTTAATAATATAACCTCACTCAGTCATGTAACGTCCTCCACCCGAGATGACCTGCTCACAGACCTCTGCCAATGCGGCGCTGTAACCTGCCACTGAAGAGAAATGAGAGGGAGGCTCCCGGGATCGTTTGTTTTCTCTCCTGGTCGAGAAACTCTTCTCAGTGCCTCCTCTCTGGCGCAGGAACTCAGCACATGGGAATCGTGGCACAAACGTGCATCCCTTAGTGCCTGTGTTCATAATGGTGCTAAATCTAAAGTGGAAACGTTAAGTGTTACAACAATGATTTGTTTCTTGCTGAAAAAGCCACTTTTAGCCTCTTGCTCTCTCTCACACACTCTCAAAGGCCCATCAGAAATTTGTTGAGTTTGAGCAGCTTGTGTGGTCTTGGGAAAAAGGGTAATATTTCCTTTTTGGAAACCTTTTCCCTGGAGCCTAGAAGCATATTTGTATAAGAAATGTACGATAATCTGTAGCACTTGAGCAAAACCATTTCATCTGCCTCCAGGTTTTTCTTCTCTCCCTGCACAAGATACAGACTCACTATAGGGATGGGTCTTCAGGGACTGTTTTCTTGTAGCTGATCTTTGACCAGGAAAGTCAAAATAAATAAATAAGAAATAAAATAAAGAAATAAATAACGTAAGAAGAACTCCAACGCAGTGCTAGAGGGGATGGGAGGTAAGGGTGGTATTGTCGGAGGTGCCGTCCTTTGGATAAGACATTAAAACCGAGCTCCCATCTGCTTGTTCAGGTGGATGTCAAAGACCCCATACCACTATTCGAAAACAGAAGGGAGTTTCTCCTGGTGTCTGGGCAACAATCCCCCAGATAAATTTGGTCATTCATTTCCTGGCTGTTTCTGGGATATTGATGTACTCAATTTTGCTGCCACGTATGCCTATAAACACAATCACTACTTCACAGTAAATCTTGTGAAGCGCTCTGAAACCTCCTTCTGATATGATAAGACACTGTACCAAATGTAAAGATGATGATGATTATGAAGGCACATTGTTGAGGTAGAGCAGAGGTAGCTTTATTTTGCAGAGCTAACATGGGCTCAACCAGATTTTGAATTACTTGATTCAGACACAAGGTCCCTAATGTGGAAAGCTCCATTTCTCACAATTCATGTATAAAATACAAACCTAATATATTTAATATCTGATACCTCACCTTGGTGAGTACAAATATTGTACTCTAAAGTGTATGCTGGAGAGTAATAGTGAAGGGAGCTGCATTTGATCGCGATGTTGAGTACGGAGGGACAGGGCTGATTTGAATGCTCACAAGTTCTGTTCGAGAGTTGCAGGTTGAACTCTCAATTCTTCATTTACAGCTCAAATCACAATGTCTCTCAGAGCCAGAATTTTTATATCTACTTTTGTCCCCCCCCTCTGTTTCAAAAGCACTTAACCTTCTTCTAGAACCTCACCTAACTGGCTGTTCTTTATGCGCAAGTCTTGGCAGGAAATGTCAGCAGGTATTTTGGTTGCATAGGGAAGGAATCTTGTCCTCACCCCACATGCTTAATGCACACCTCCAACTGGAGACCTTGGGGAATGACTAGGACTGAGGCTATATAAATGCAAGTTGTTGTTGGTATCTCCCCCACCCCCCCCCCTTTATCTGGGGAGATTGAGGCCAATTGTACCACTCCACCTGCTGCCCCAGATGAGATCAGATAACTTGGTGCAGACTGAGACTTGAACCTACAACTTGTCCATTCTTTATTGTTTACTACTGCACTGGTCAAGTACAGTTACTCACTCAGTCATCATGACAGCTCCTCTGAGGCAGACTGAAGATGCAGATTCTCTATTGTAACGGTTACAAACTCCTTGAGAATTGTTTTTTGATAGAATCTAGGGCTGTTGTAAAATGTTTTGGGCTGTGCTTTCTCGTGTCTCTGACCTTTTCCTCTTCCCCTCACACAGATGAATACAGACTTGTTGCAGGAGCAGCAAGTGGACTCATCAAAAGGTCGGATGCTGAGGCGCACAGTGAGTGTCCCCTCAGAGGGCCAATTCCCAGACTATCAACACGATGCAAGCACAAAGCTGGGTGAGTTGGAGCATTACACTGTGTTTCTTTCAGGAGCTCTCTCTAGAAGTCTCAGGATTTCTCTCTGGAAATGGACTGGATAACAATACTGTACACGCAGCAAGCATACGGCTTCCTGACCAGTGGATGTGTGTTCGTTGCCCTCTCGTGGTTGTTGAAAGAGTTACAGATCAGCAAAAAGCAATTTATTGTGGTGTTTTCCTCCGAAACAAAAACTGCCATCTCGTGGTCACTCTGGGAATGAATTTAACCCTTCATACGATTTGACGGTGATTGTGGGTTTGGAGCCTCTATTTATTGCAAATGGGCCTTTCGGAACAGGATACACTTCAAGTCCACTCTATTCAGCATTGGTCTTTTGTGAGGCTCAACTCTGCCTTGCAAAGGAAGGTGACCACCTGTAATGTGAAGTGATTGCTTTGCCATCCCACAGTATCTTCGCCTCGCCCCCTCCCTTGCCTCCTTCAAGGCCTATCTCAAGACACCCCTCCTCTTCGACTGCGCCTTCAGGCACTCTCCTATCCCACACTCCCTGCCCTCCACCCCTTCTGATCTCAACCCCCAGCTCGGGTGAAAATTCTTGATTGTCCAGCACCTCTGGACGTCTTCCTGACGTGAAAGGCGTTCTACAAATGTAATTTGTTGTTGTTGTTAGGTACATGCTTGGTGTGCTTGGTTCCAATGTGTGAGATACCTTAGCCTTTTCGCTTTGTGATTTTATATCTCCATTTGGTAATAGCTGATCTCAGAATTTTCTTAGTTAGATCGTGTAATTAGTTGAATCTAGGGACCTTGATTTTCCTAAGCCTTTGTTTGTTGTGGGGAGGAATCCTTTCTGGAAAGATATCAGTAGATTCAAGGATCCTCCCCACTGCCTGAGTTAAGCTGTACAGGGCTGAGTTTGGTCAATGCTGGGGTTGCTAATCTTAACTAGGGTAGAATTTGGGCAGGACACTGGGTTAGAGAGAAGGAAAATGGGACCCACTGCTGTTCACTTGCTGAAATGTGTGAATATGGGAAAGGATATGAGGGAGGGATGAGTTGAGTGGAGATATCACTGTACCACAGTTGTAAGAAGTCAGGTGCAATTTTGTAGTTTGGGCACCAAACCTAAGAAGGATATATTGGCCTTAAAGAATGTGCAGCATCGATTTACTAGAACGATTCCTCGAGCACCTAAATTATAATGAAAGGATGGAAAAACTTTGATTATATTCTCTCAAGTTCAGGAGGTTGAGGAGTTATCTAATTGAGGTGTATAAAATTATAAAGGGATTTGACAGGCTGAATAGCGAGCAACTGTTTCTTCTGGTGAGAAAGTTGAGGCCATAGAGTTAAACTTGAGACAAAGCCATTTAGAAGGGAAATAAGGAAACATTTTTTCACGCAGCGGGTGGTTGGAGTGTGGAATTCACTCCCCTAGAGGGCAGTAAAGGCAATAAATTGATCAATTTAAAAGGCAAATGGAAATATGCTTACTAGCCAGAGGTATCGAGGGATGTGGAGAGAGGGCAGGCAGGTGGAGTTGAGTTGCAGATTGGCATCTTGGAAAGTGGTGGGACAGGCTCGATAGGGGGGTGAATGGCTTCCTCCTGTTCCTATGTTCCCAGTCTCATCCACAGTATGGAGTAGTCTGAGAAACATATCACAGGGGACTCAACGTTTTGGAAAGCATTAGTTTTGAAGACAGACTTTTACTTTGTCGATGTCTTTAGCTCCTGGTATAATGGGTATGATATTGTGACAACAGATGTAAAAGTGGCAGAGGGAATGAAGGAGAATGGAAGACATTGGTATTCTCCGCTCAGCCTTTTTGTTCAGTTGAATAAACATTGTGGACACAAACTATTGACCAATATGATCACTGGGTCGGCATCGGGCTCTGCTACTGTTAAGGACTCAGAGAAGATAACCGGTGTGAAGGGCGCTATATAAATACAAATTGTTGTTATTGATCACGTGTTACTGAACCAGGCCATTGCATCTAGCCTGGAATCTATACCTTTCAGCAGTCTGTTACAGATGTCACTGAGAGCGAGGATTGATCTGTTTTTGTTCTACTTCCCCCACGTGATGAAAGCTTGTCTGAGTTGCTTTTAGGAAGTGATATCTAGCTTTTGTGAGGAAAGATCTGTGCATGTGAAAAGATTGTGAAATGCTCAAAGCCTTGTCTTGTTTTAAAAAAAACATCATTTGCTGATGTGTAGTAAAAGACGCATCACTGTCTAGAAGCTGGATTGCCACTTTTAGTCAAAATATGACTCGTCCATTGTGATCTGTGTTCACATGTTGTAAGAACCTTTATGTGCAGAACTTTAGGCTTCTCATACCTTTAGGTGCAGAACTTTAGGCTTCTCAAAACTGTGTACTGTTGCCAGTCTGAGAGTCCTGTAGCTTCGTGGTTAGAGCACTCACCTTGCAAGCGCTACGACTTGGGTTTGATTCCCAGGCAACACAAAACGTTAGGCAAGTTTCTTTACTCCTCATGCCTCCGTTTAACCAGAAGTAGGTAGGAATCCAGTTGTTAGTTGATTGGTGGATCGCTTTCTGGGGGTAATAAATCCTTCAAAAATAAATAAATGATTTGGTCACTCAATCCACAACTGTTTGTGGGACACTGCTGTGCGCAATTGGTTGCCGCGTTTCACCCACAAAATACCCAGTCAATCCATTTTACAGTATATTCGGTGAAGCACTTTGAGACCTCTCAAAGCTGTGATAAGGCGCTATATCGAATGCAAGGATTATTATTATGAGAGGCTTGGATCATAACCTGCTTTAGGTCACTCCTCTGCAACCAGGAAAGTTAATTCCAGGCCAGGCCATTAGATGCTGCCACTCTTTCCCCCGTGTTTGGCACCAGTCAATCCCATTGTGAAACCACACCATCACTATATGGAGAGGGTTTAAAGAGCCATACTGTCAGGTTATATTCCCAATGAACCAAACTGAATTCACTGATATTCAAGAAGATTCCTACTGGGCAATTGAATAAATAACACATCTAATAAGTAATGAGCAGAAAATATCTCTAAAGATATTAAATAGCCATTAAAATAATAGCACAATATTATAGCAGATAAATTGAATGCACTTTATGGTGATGTTATGATAGCATTCATTGCACTAGTGCTGGTAAAATTCTATCTGAATGTTAATCTAATGGGACTGAATAATATGTGCCTGCCTGGCTATAAATGGTATTCAAATGTACAGGGAGGAGAATAAGTTACGACTAATTGTTTTTACTCATAAAAGAAAACCGATTGAAGCCGTGGCTAGGGTAACGCACAGATTTCTGTTACATGCTATGAACAGGAAGTGAAGATGGGATTGTCCAGACAAGTTGTCTCACATATTAACCCTGTCTAGACTGCATGTAGTAATTTGAGGTTTGTTCTGTAAGCAGTGTTAATAATTGTGTTTTGGATGCGATTCATTTCACTCAAGTCTTCAACTGAACTTGGTCTAATTCACTTCCTGCTCTTCCCCGTGTAATGTTGTTCAAGGCTGAAATGTTCTAAAACTTCAAGCAATAATCTTTTTCTGTTGGTTTCCAGTGTATCCAGTCAAAGGGCATACAAACTTCTATTTAGAGACCCCAGTTTCTATTTGAAAACTTGCATCATGTCACTTTCAGGAACTCTGTCCACCTATGTCCACCTCTTGTCCAGAAAGTGAGACTGTTTGAGCATTTGCAAGCTGACCTCTCCTCTTCCATCCCCAACAGAAACACAAATAAAATAATATTAATCCTGGCTTTTAATGTCTTTCAGGTCAGGAAGAATCTCAAAGCGCTTCACACGATTTACTGTAAAGTGTTGTGACTGTATTGTGCGGCAAACGTTTCACCCTGAGCAGGAATCAAACCAAGGTTCTCTTGCTTGGGAGGCGAGTGCTCTAACCACTAAGCTACACGACTCCATGATGGCCACTATCGCATCTAAAAGAGTGTTTAGGAGGAATTTCTTTATACAGAGACTGATGAGAATGTGAAACTCAGTGCCAGAATCCATGGTTGAAGCATAAAACATCAGTGCATTTAAAAGGAAACTCGATATATACATGAGAGAGAAGGGAATAAAGGGGTGTGGGGAGGCTGGGGAAGGGGCAATGAGAAGCAGTGCGGGCTCTTGTGTAGTACAAACACAGGCTTGGACTAGTTGCACCAAATATCCTGTTTCAATGCAGTAAATTCTATGTAACATACACGTACTACCCCCCCGAGTATTGTGCTGATCGATGAGAAGCCTGCAATACTATTTCACTCACCTTGAATGCATGTTGATCTATTGAGCTATTTATTTTATTGATTTCACTTTTAAAGCTCATCACAGTCTTGCTCCTCCCTTCCTCTGTGACCCACTAAAAGAATACCAAACCGTCCACTCCCTCTGCTTGACAGGCACTGGCCTGATCCGTGCTCACTCTACCATTGATAATTGGGCTGTTAGCCTTTCTCTAGGTATCTACCCTCTATCCGGCAACCCTCGCCTTCCCTTGCCTCCTCCAAAGCCCATTGCAAGATCTTCCTTTTTGTCCATGCCTTCAGTCATCTTCCCTCCTCTACCTCTTTGCCCTCCACCCCCCACTTGACTTCCAACTCCCAACTCGAACCGTCCAGCACCTTGGGACGTCCTCCCAATGTGAAAGGCACTTTATAAATCCAATTTGTTGTTGTTGTTCTGATTAATTCTTGAGCTAATTATTTTACGGTGTCTTTATGTCCTCTTCACATTGAATTGATGCTGAAATTAGTCAGAAATTAAGATTTTTACATTCAGCAGAAGTTTACCATTAAGTACAGTGCAGTGAGAGGCTGCTGCTGCTGCTGTTAATAATATGTTTTATGCGGCCACGGTAGCCAAATAAAATGTGCTCTGTCACAAATGCTGATGGTTAGTGATTGGTGATCAGGCCTGGGCCTTCCTTTCTCTGTTGTTCTTTGCATTTATAATAATAATAATATAATAGTACCCGTTGCAGTTATGCTTGCAACC